CACACACACACACACACACACACACACACACACACACACACAACCTCTCATCAATTTGCGTTTTCCGCATTGCATAGCTGCAAAAAACGCATAAGAAATTGATAAGCTTAACCGCTAGGTACGAAAAAGCAAAAAAATTGAAAAAACAAAGAACAGTATCGTTAGCAAGCTGCTGGGGAGATTACGCTGGTTCATCGTTAGAACGAGCCGTTATAAAGTTTCCAGCCAGCCGTATCGAATGAAAGGAAGGGTGCTCTGTGATGAAACGGCCACTGATGAAAGTATCAAAGTGAAACAATGAATAGTAACTGTTCTTGCGACGATTGCGACATTCAGAAATTCACAATAGCAAAGTGCAGTTAAACCTGCGCAGCGCGAGCGCCGGAGTATCCCCAACTCCCGAAACAAACATCTGAATTATTCTGATCCTAGAGATAAGTCGATTTATATTAACTGCCGTTGCAGACTGGTCCAAGATACAGCAAATATTCGTATACGGCCACAGACACAGAATCCACTGAAGCAGAATCTCCTGCACTGCATGCTGCAGCCGTGGAGAACATTTTCGTTGGCTTGTGCTTTCTGCTCTTCTTGATGACACTTCCTCTGTCACTTCTGTTTTCTTTAAAGGTAATCTTGTAGGTTTTGGAATGACTGTGACATGTGGCGTGATCAGTTCTGACCGAAGGAGAAATCTTTACCTGAGATTTTGACGTTGTAGGTCCAAAACCAACCAGTTTTGCGCTTTTCGCCTATTTCTCTGCCCTAATGACCTGAACATGGCACATTTCAGCATTTAATTGTAAGTTTTGAGCTTTTGTACATCTTTTTAACTTTTGCAGCAAATTAACGCTTTTCAGCTAGTTCCAGTGCTCTTTTGAAAAGATTATGCAATCCCTTAGCTGAATTTCGTTTGAATTTTTTCAGCCTTGGTAAGCACGGCGAAACTTTTCGTACTTCTACCCCGTGTTAGCATTCATTCCTCTCACATGAAGGATTTTGATGCTTTCTCAGCACAGAAGTGTCTCCTCACCACTTACCTCTGGATACCACAGTTATTATTATCACAGTCTCTCTGCATATATTCGTGTACGCATGCGATTTGTGTTTTTGCGTCTGTACTTGTGTATTTCCAGTCTCCTCCCCAGCACTGTCCCTCTCCGGCACCGAACATGTAATTTAAGGCTTGATTTATAATCTGCCGTTTGCACAATAGTCATTTTAAACTTAATTTGACAATTTTCAGTTTGTAAGTGATTTTGAACGGCTGGTTGTGCTCCGGCTCGGTCGAGCTCAAAAAACTCGCGGCCCGGGAGCAACCGTTGTGTTGCCCTGTATCGATACGTATACAAAAGTTGATTTGCGAGTGAATGCATTCAATGTACCACCCATGCAAATAATAACCATCGATCGTGGCATTGTAGAGCTTGGAGCCACCGTTTTTCTGAAAGTAAGTCAGGCAATTACTAATAAAATTCAGGTCAGCGATGATGTTGGTCTCTGTTCCAAACACGACAGTTCTGTGGCATAGCCAGAAATATGTGGGAGCCAAGAAGGCCTAAATCACTCTAACGGCAAAAATTAACTATAATAACATAGCTGTAAAGAATATAAGCTATGCAATTATGACCAAATAAGCAGCTTATGCCACAAACCCTGGCAGGAGGAAACAAACACAACTGAAGAAAGAAATAGCAGGCGCAATATTCCGCTCAAACTTCGGGCTGGCCTCATAGCGGCAGATTAGCAGCCGACGAGCGTTCGAAATTTACTTTGCTGGAAAAATTACCAGCTCAATGGTTCACCCTACAGAAGCACTTGGGAAGACTCTATCCGTTTTGAGATATGTTTGATATATGTTGAGTATCATCACATTGTCTACTGGACAACGACGAGCTATGTTACCGACTATGATCGAAATGTACTTAATACTGCAAATCCTAAATGGAACGCACCAGACTTGCCGGTGCGATCATATGTTTGTTTACAAAACTTAAAGCAAACATGTCGTTTAACTTTATGGATGGTTGCTGTTTTACACTTACGTTGTGTGCTCATTACCGTAAATCATCGTAAATTTTGCATAAAGGAATATGAACAATTTCCGTTCAGTAGTCTTTCTTTGAAAATGACCCATCTCTTCAATGAGCAATTTTCCCGCCAAGATGTTTAATTGCCAGTACGTAAGAGCGATGCATACGTGTAGACTGAACTTGAAATTTTAGGTTGTACGTAGACGGGGAATATTCCATTAAAGTTTCAGCTTTCCAGCGTTTCTAGTTCCCTAGTTAGCAATTTTCCCACCAAAACCTCCGCTTGCCTACGTGATTACCATGCATACCCGGGACTGGATTTGAAATGTTTAAGTTGTACGTGGACGGGGAACATCTCGTTAAAATCCCAACCTTCCAGCTTTTCTGATTCCCGAATTAGCAATTTTCGCACTGGAATTTCCACGTGCATGTACGCGAAACATGTACTTGAGAGTTGATATCACGTTCCTGGCGTTGCACTTGACCGGGGAACACACTGGCAAAATTTCAGCATCAAAGCTTGCGTGATTGCTGGGTACAGACACCCGGACAACGAGCACACACACATACACACACAAATACATACATACACAGACAAAGCTATTACAGTATGCGTTTTCGGTGTCTGTTGCAACGCCATAAGAAGATACAATATTGCTTTGCTTATTTATGTTTGTACAGAAAATTGGCAAGAAAACTTCAAAGTTCCTTCTCCGCTTTATCTGCTGCACGTTCTACACTGGCATAATTTTTGATGCTTTGAATTTTCGAAAATTGATTATGCTCACAGCAGCCAGATAATATGCTGTTTTATAACACAATTCAAAAAAATTACAATTTTTGCCTAGATCAGTGTTTTTTTTCGTGAGAGTACCCAGTGTTGGGAGTTGCTAAACTGTAACCAAACGGGACTTCGTACTTTTCAGCCTGCAACTGTGTCTTTTTCAGCAAGCAACTGCCTGTTGATGCCATACCCTGAAAATGAATGCAGTCACTCGCAATCAGTTTCTAAATTCATGAACTGTAGGTAAAGGACGCGTTGGCTGCAGTATGCGCCGTGAAAGAGCGAAACCAATCGACTCGTACCTTGGCTGTTGCAACACTGCATCGTCTGGCATGCAAGCAACGAGCTGCGGATCTTGCTTCCACAACTGGCCGTATGCAGCTTTCCAATGGTCTTCAGGTTTTTACACCCATTTCATAACGTGCCATTGTGTATCAAGTCTGCCTGTTTTTAAAAGATCTACTACTAGCCTCTAGTTGTCTCACTTTGTAAAAACCGCGCACACAAACTTTCTTCCAAATCTAATAAAGCTGCACTCACGCAAAAACGCTATCCTTGGTCGGACAATACCAAAATCGTCCGAGCAACTCGTACGGAGATTTCGGTGTCACAGTGGGAGAGGGGGAGGAAGGAGGAGGGATAGTCCAGGGCAGTTTCGTTGGGTCATCCCGCCCTGGGCTGCTCGTTGGGCCATCTTCAATATGTATGCGCATCGTATCCCATATTCTTGTTCGCCGTTCCGAATCCATCAGCTTTTTGCAGAAAGAACAGCATGTCCCGTCCGACAGACGGAATATTCCTTCTTGGCCGCAACGATATTCTATAGAAATCATTTAAAGGAAGAGTCAAATTTTCTGTGTGATGAAATTGGGCGTATTGTAAAGTCTGAAATTTTACACAGGTTGAACTTGATGCGTTAACAGGAGCGTGGGGAGTTGAAATCACGAAGGTAGAAGTGTCGGAAGTGAAGGTAATCAAAGAAGGCGAAAATATTGCTTTAGCTACTTTTAATAAGGTATTACCTATAATAAATATGAGTTTCTTTCGTATTTTGTCAAGTGGTTTTTTGCACACTCTCTCTCATGTTCGAATTGAAAATTCCAAAAATAAAGGTTTAGCACATTGTCCTAACAAAGCTTTCGCTGATGGTTTAGACGTTTCATCTGCTTGGCCGGAATTCTGTCCTGTGCAGTCTAGTTCATTTGTTAGTCATCTAATCGTAAATTTGCACTATAAATTTTTATGCGTTTTGTGCTGCGTAACAGCAGTACAAAACGCATATTGTTTTTCTTGATGCCCTGAGATGAACAACTGCCTTCCATCAAAACACATTTTTCCCATATTTCTACAATTTTTAAAGCAGCTGTAAAGGAAAATTGCGAAGGTAACACAGTTCATTTACAGTCAGATAAATAGAAGGAAAAACAAAGGTCCAAAAAACTTTTCCCAAAAAAAAAAAATTAATTCAAACCTTCGAAAAAAGCCCACAAATGTATATTTTTCGGATTGTCTTTGAGGACAGAGCCTCAGAGCTGATAAATTATTGGACCCAGCTTTCCCAGGTGGCATTTATTAAGTCAGCTGATACCCGGAGCATCCCGCCTTTTAAGTGAAAATTATTTCGCCTAAGCTTGCAAAAAATTACGCGAAATTGTTTGACCGTGCGAAGTGAATCGATGCTTGATGCTTTGTTTATTTCCCTCAGCGATTATGGTGCGCTCTCCATCTTAAATGCCAACTGCTCGGTGAGAACCGGTAGTTAGAAAAAGCAACAACTTCCCTGTCTCGATTTTCAGAAAGCTGATTTTCTCACCTCTATCTTTCCGATCACTTGAAACCAGCGTTTTGGTCTCTGTCATTATGTCTTGGTAACTTTCAGCAATTTAGGTCTTAAAGTCCGAACTTGGTTCGAAGATTATTGAAACAATAACGAACACCGCACAAGAATTTGTACTGCAACAACAAAGGGAACAGGAGGAACGATCGGAAACTGACAAAGAGGAAGGAACGGTAAATTTATCTGGAGGTGAACTGCATAAGAACGTCGGGCAAGAACGTGTTTCAGATGACTGTTTGAAGGATTTCGATATTGACCGTTTACTTTGTTCCTTAGCAATGGTTATTGATGAGCGCTTGGTCGCCGCTGTCGGGCACATCTTTCAAGTGAACTGCACAGACTTCGGTGATTTTTATGTAGATCTAAAAAACGGTTCTGGGGACTGCTGCAAAGGCGCGAATCCGATGGCTGATGTAACGTTTTGTTTGAATCGTGCACTGCTCAGCGAAATCATCACAAAGAGGGTGACACCAATGCAGGCTTACTTAAATGGCTCGTTACGAATACGTGGCTCATTTAAAATTGCCATCAAGCTAGCACTACTTTCCGATCGCCTCAACTGCTTGCTCTGATCTGTTGCAGTATTCTGGGACAGCTTCTTATTGAATTGTGGAATTTTAGCCCTGAATTTTCCTTCAGATTGGATTGCTCGAGTTTTTTTTTTTTTTTTTTTT